TTTGACCGACGGAGTATCAGCGACGGATCAACGACGGAAAGCACTTTCAGCGACGGATCAGCGAGGGAATTTTCCCTCGCTGATACCCAGCATTTTTGTAGTGATATATATGTGTGTGTGTATACATATGTATGTAGAAGTGAGTTATTATGCAACCCTTTATATTTGTACAAGCAATACAACTCAATCACAACCATCTATTTAATTTGATGAATATGTGATTTCATAAAAGTTTTGATTGTTTCTGAATATAAAGTATTGATCATAATTAATGAACTCTAGTCATCTTTCATAAATATTCAAATCATAATAAATGAACTCTCATCATTTTCATAAATATCTCAATTGATTGGGTTGCATTGCTTGTACAAATGAACATGGTTGCATTTGAAATATACCCCATGTATGTATGTATAATGTATATACTAACATTATAACTAAAACAATCATAACGTTTACTCAGCAAATGACAACCAGAACTACACACACACACACACACACACACATATATATATATATATATATATAGGATCAAGTTCAAAGAGTAGATAAAAATTTTGCAAGAAGGCGAGAAGTCTCAATATCATATATAATTGCACGCATAATACATAAACTTAATCATATATGATTAAACCCATGTTGCATTGACAAGACATAGACGTTTAATCATATTTGATTAAACACACCAAAAATAGTGTAATCATATATGGTATTGAGACTTCTCGTCATGTCGTAAAATGTTTCTTCTCACATGATCCTTCCCATATATATATATATATATATATATATATATATATATAGGAGCGATCAAATACAAATCGCCCCCATTTGTACAAACCTTACAAATTAATTACAAACAATCACATAAATTCATTTGTTTTCCTTTTTTTTAAATCATAAGGGTATTATGGTCATTTGAATTTACAATACGTATGTTTGGTAATTATTTAATATTTTTTTTTTGGACCGCAAGAAAGATATTTATTCCGAACGAAACAAAAGACTAGCGAGGAGCTAGTTGGTAACAGGGTACACCGCCTCAACCGGATTACTAATCCACCTCTCCCAACTAAAAGATTTGCTACAATTCGCTCTACATCTAATCCAATCGAAAGCGGTGA